AAAAATAAAGTATTCATTTTCTTTCTTCACCCATTCATTTGAAAGAGCCCCACGAAAATAAGGTGAGCGAGTACGTAACACCAAAGAATGAGCATGAATTTCTTGAGAATCATCACCAGCGTAAATTTTAATATCATAACCCTCCATAGTTTCAAAAAGTTGTTTAAAATCTTCTGCTACATCCGCGTAAAATGTTGATTCCATTTTTTTGAAAGACTTTTCGTGAGAATTTGATTCTAGATTATCACCCTTATAATCTCCCATATAATCACATGGGTTAAAATTTAAATTGATGGCTTAGTAATATTATGCACTTGATTTAATTAAAATTTTTCTCAAATCGAAGTAAATAGAACATTAACATTTCAAATTCGGTGTCCAGGATATTGATCAAAATGCCAATATAAACAGTAAAGTAATAAATTATTCCAAATAAATTATTATTATATTTCTTTCTAATTATTATTCTGTATTTAATCTAAATAAATTAAACTTAGTGTACGTTGTTCGTAGAGAAATCAAATCTAACAAGGAAATATAAAAGATTAGTTATTTTATAATACTAAATTATATTTATATTTTTACAATACAAATAATTGAATAATGCATTTTTTGAAAAAAAAAGTTCACTGAATTTCCAAAGATATCAATATAATTAATTCTTTATGTTTGTGTAGTGTTGTTATTACTTCTGCAACGTACCGTCTCACAAATTAGGCAATCGGACTCGATTTCCGATTGACAAGATTTAATTATATTTGACCTCAAAAAAATATTCGAAATGAAAAAATTTATTCAAAAAAAAAATGGTAACCATTGAATTTTATGGTCTTAAATCAAAATACGGTAGATTTAGTAATTTTTATAAACGTAATGTTACAATTGATGGTAAAGTTTGGTCAACTACTGAACATTATTTCCAAGGTATACTTTTATTAATTATTAAACTACGGAAGTGACAATAATTATTAATTAATTAGTAAATCTATAATTATTAAATTAAAAAAAAAATCAATTAATTTATTAGCACAAAAATTTCCTGATCAACCAACAGTTCAAGAAGAAATTCGTCAATTAACTCGACCAAGAGATGCAGCTCGTAAAGGCAGAACTCAAGCTGGACTTCGTTCAGATTGGGAACAAGTTAAAGATGATGTTATGCGTACAGCTTTAAGAGCTAAATTTACACAACATGAAGATTTAAAAGAACTTTTATTGAATACAAATAATTCTAAACTTGTTGAGATATCACCAACTGATAGTTATTGGGGTAATGCTGAAAAGAATGGTACTGAAGGTAAAAATATGTTGGGTATTTTATTGATGGAAATTAGAGAAGAGTTAAAAAATGAAAAAGAATCAGAAAGTAATGAAGTATTAAAAGATGATTAAAATTAAATTTTAAAGGAATTAGACCAAAATTCTTTCATTTCATATGGTTGAGTAATTTTATTAAATACAATGTAACTTATAGATTATGAAATATATTATATGTGACATAAAACCGCATAATCATTTAACCTCCGTTCACTATCACAATAAATTATTATTTTTTCATTCTTTCGTTTATAATTTTCTAGTGGTACCCAAATTAAACATGTAGGAATTGTAAGTGATGAATGAAACCATGAGGAAAAAATAATAACACAGCTGATTAGGACATGTGTTCCATTCATAAATTTTCTTTATTCAAAGATGAATCGTTTATCATCATCATCTCAAATTTCTTATCTATCACATATTTGATGATCAATATGAAATATTCAATCAAAAACGATATTAATAAAATTGATATTTGAATGAATCCAAAAAATTGCTGTATCTGCAAAAAAAAATGTAAAGAGAAACATAAATGGAATTATTTGCTAGAAAATCATTTTAGGAATAATTAGAAATTATATTCTTTATTTTAATTACAAATCCTATTCTGACAATTGACACTGCACTGTCCCAAAAATAACTTTATAATTAGTTTCAAAAATCTTTGTTTCTTTACTGATAAGATCTGGAGAATAAATCAACTGGTTTTTCTATTTTAAAAAGAAAGAGAATGTGAAACAACTCAAATAACTTGCAAAATCTACAATAATTACATATGGGCTTTATAATAAAAAATGTGATTATTTACAGAATCATGTGTATTTATATAATGTTGATTGGATGCATGTGATTCTATGTGAGAGGACCCTTAACCTATACACCCCGTACATGCTTTTATCTTGTCAGGGGGGAGGTAAAGTTTCTTATCCTTTGCATCCTCCGAATTTCATTGGTTCAGAATTTTAGGAAAAAAGAAAGCAAAGAAATTCGGGTTTAGAACAATTAAAGACAAAAATTGATAAGTTTAAAGAAAGGATAAGATAAGACAATAAAAGAAGAAAGGCAGTGACAGGGTGAATCGGAATAAGGTAGTTTTGCTAGGGACTTGAATAGAAAATAGATATAAATTTAAATAAAGAAAGTGTAGTTCTAGCTAAGTCATGTGATCAAATAAACAAGATTAATAATTTATTTTAAGATCTAAAACTCAAGATTATGTAATTTAGATGTTTATTACTAATTCAATAAAACAAAACAAAGAAATTAAGAAAGAAAAATATATTTATTATAAAAGAAATAAAGTTTCGATTAATGAAAATAAAAAAATTACAAGAAAGAAAATAAAGAAAATAAAGAATTCTATTTTGAATTATTGATGATTTCACTCTAAATTATTTAATTATTTATTATTCATTAAGATACTTAATTTCTGATTAATTACATAAAAAGAAATTAAAGCTCTTTATATATATTTGAAAACTATTCTATAAATATAAATTAATTAATCAATTTATTACATTTAGGAATTTTATCAGATATAGTATTTCCAAATATAATAATGATCACTGGCATAGAAATCTATTGAATTTTCTTTTTGTAATACCTTAGTGTAACTCTATTCAAATATATGAGGTTGCTTTGATAAATTAAAAAAACTTTACAAGTAATTTAAAACAAATATAAATAATTTCAAAAAAAGTGTCATAGAATTTTATTAGTTATTTATTTTATTTTATTTTTTATTATTTAAAGACAAAATAAGATAAATAATAACAAGTATATGTTTTATAATTTACAGGATTGTAATATCCCAATTTATTTTGATAAAAAGAAGATTTCCTCACTACATATAACTCTCAAGATTAATAATTATTTACAGCTTTACCAAACAAAAAAAAAAATAGTATCAATTATAAAGTAAATTTGAAGAACTGAGAATTTATATTTAAATGTAAATTATATTGTTAAGTTATTCCTGTATTGATATTATAGTTTAATAAAATAAACTATAATTTAGATTACAATTCATTATTATAGTTTAATTATATGTTTTTTATAATTATTCTATATATGTTCTCAAAATTGATTTTGGATTTTTGAGATATTTTGACTTTTTGAAATTTATGCAGAATCTATTCTATATATGAAAGTAAAAAAAATATTCAGTTATATGTATCTTTAATCAAAGAATAAATCTGAATACGCAAAAAATTTTAGATTTTAAGTAAAATAATTTTGTCTTCTATGAAAAACTATTTTGACTTTTTTCCTTAAAATTATAATTTCGGGACCTCAAAATAATTTTACATGGAAGTATAAATTATTCAAAGTACATATAACTCTTTAGATTTTGATAAATAAATAAAATCATATATTTAAAAAAAAAAGAAAAAAAAAAGAGTTTAAAAATATACATGTTTTCAAAATTAATTTTAGATTTTTGAGGTATTTTGACTTTTTGAGATTTATGCAGAATCTATTCTATATATAGAAGTAAAAAAAGTAT